GGGTGGGGGTGGGGGGAGGACCAGGGAGGATGATTCAACCACTCAACCACTAGATGTCGCTGAAAACAACAAATCCTACACACTGTGCCTTTAATGATGTCATGATCTGTCTGGACTTTCTTCAGGTCAACACGATGATGCTTGAGCCTGTGATTGGATGAGATCTGCTACATTTATCCCAGCAGCCCTCAGACAGCTGACTGAACGTCTTCATGTTGGTGATTTGTAGTTTTAACAACCCAATACAGTCAGGTTTGTGTGGATAAAATCTTGAATTTCAGAAACAAARAAGTCTTCCTCAGATGTTTGTCTTCTGACTGTCTCTAACAGTCGTCACATTAGCAACAGAAAGGTTTACAGGACTTGTTTAACACAAAACTGTGTTTTAGTTTGAACATATAATCCACAAGCCTTATTACAAACTGTTTTATATAGTTTAGTTTTTTTCCAACAAAAGAAACCGCCTACGTGCTTTAAAACTACTGAACTTGTTCGAAGTATTACTTTTTATATCTGTGTTTTCTACATGTAGCGTGGACTGTATTATGACATGCTAAAAGCTTTTTATCTTTTCTACCTTGTAGTTTTATAGAACACAGTAGGTTTCTAAAGATCTCATGCATGTGAAAACTGTTTCAGTGACAAACTGAACTGTGTTGCTTTTTCAAATGAGTCTTTTTGTACAACAGGATCACATTCAACTGTTTTTATACAACTCTTTTAGATTATTCTTGGCTTGAAAAGTAGTTCAAAGAAAAGGTTCTGATCTAGTTTTATATTTTTTGAATTGTTAGAGAAAACCAAACATTTGTGTATTTGTTGTGTTTCAGTCTTTTTGTAGTGACATATATGATGTAGAATAAAAGCAGCTTTTCTGTGTCGGAGGATCCTTCTTGGTTTGTTTTCTTTACTCTGCTCCTCTGTAGGTCAGTTGATGTTAGAGAGCAGGATGTCTGATGTTAAACTCTACTCTCATTGGTACTAAAGTAGCTGCAATGATTCTCTTTAACAAYAAAACACATTTCAGGCTGAGCGCACCTCAGAAGTGTGTTGTTGGTTAATGGTTCCTTTTAAAGCACCCAGTTTGGTGCTGTCACTCCACCAGCTGACAGGATGATCTCCAGCTTCATCTTCATCACCTCAGCTGGTAATGAGAGGATCACTGAAATGGTGTTAGCAGCAGTGTTGGAACAAAGTACAAATACTTAGTTACTTTACTTAAATATATATTTTTGTTATCTGTACTTTTTTAACCAACTTTTTATTTCTACTTCTCACATTTTCACGCAATTATCTGTACATTTCTCCCTACATTTTTAAACAGGGAAGATGTAGAAAGTTGCTTTTTTCCTATTTTATTTTAGCTTGTTTTCATTCAGGCTTGTTATTGTTAAAGGCACAGTGTGTAGGATTTTGTCAAGTCGTTTAGCCGAAATTGAGATAATCACTAATAACAATAATAAAAACATGTC